GGTCAAGGTAATTTGGGTTGTACGGATTATTGACCGTTACTTCAGAAGATAGGAATAAAAGGAAAAATAGATCTCTTGGGAAAACGGCGTTAAATTTTCTAAGTAACTTTCTGTGTAAAGTGTTATTGGGTAGTAAAAATATAGAAGGGTTTAAAATAGAAATAATCGTTTTAACTTTAAGAAGGGTAGATAATTGTGGCACTTTGAATTTTTCCCTTTGTTTTATCTAGAAATGATATATTTAAAGAATGTTATTTTATTTTAAATTATTTTTAGAATATCTAGAATGAAAAATGAAAATTTTAATATATTAAAAAAATCATTCTTTAACGGCTTCTATATATATTATTTGTAAAATTCTCCTCAAAATTTTGTATGGATACAAGATAAAATGCATATCCCTTCTTTTTACTCAATTAGTTTAAAAATTCATTTAATAGTGGATATTCAAACTTTACAACAACAAAAAAAAAAAACTTTATTAATGCTTTTTGGAAAAATGATCGAGCTGATTTATTTATTTTTTGCACGATGGAGACTTTTTGGCGAAACGAACAATAATTCCGTACGTTCGGAAAGTTAACATGTTAAATAAAAAAAAACAAAAAAAAAACGGCATACGTACAATTTCCATAATAATCCATTCCTCCCCTTGGTGACGTCATGACAAACTGTGCACACGTCATCAGCATAAAAATGACAAGTACACATTCCATTTCGTTTCAGTTCCTACATTATAAAAATAAAAAAAAAAATTAAAAAATTAAACATCTCCGTAACACTTTGATTAAAAAAATCAATTCACAAAACGGAATACTTCTGATTATCTAAAAATGACGTCACGTTTTAGATTAGTGAAATAAGATCAGACTGAAAAACTAAGTAATGAAACGGTATGATTAAATTGTTTCCTACTTTTTACAGTATCGTGCGCTATTTTTATTTTGTAGTATATTTTTAAAGTAAAAATGTAATTAATTACTCTCCATAAGGTGTCGCCGTGAGCTATCTGTAGCATCAAAGTATTCGGCCTAGTTTGTTTAGTGTTATAAAATGAAGTTAATTTAGCGGTTTATGATTTCTAGACCTTAGGGTAAATATCGTATTATTTGGGTTTGGATGTGAATACTTCACGATAGTGATTGTGGGTTTATGATTTGTGTTTCTTTCGACTGTTAACATTTTTCATGGTGAGAGTTAAATTCACGATTTTAAATTGTGTATGTTGATTAATTATTTTTTTTTATTTTTTTTTTATTTTTTTATTTTTTTGTATTTTAGAAAGATGAAACAATTTAGCCATGAATCTTAACAATTGTGAATTTGATTATTTATTGTTGAGTATTATCAACGGATGGCGCTTTGCCTACCTCAGTGATTTAGACATGTATTGTGGAGAGTATAATTTAAATCAGTATTTTCTTTTTTTTGTGAATACGATAATTACCGGCTCGTGCAAAACTTATTTCCCAGGTAAGTAGAACAGGATGAAGAAACGAGCATTTTTTTTCACCCTTTACTAGCCGCTAGACCCGTAAGATTTTGCTCCCCCCCCCCCACCCACCCACCCCTCTTTCCAGGTCATCGTACAACCTGTTATGTAATAAGTTGGTCGAGGAACAACCTTCTCTATATAGTCTGGGATCCGAACTGAATCATACTGTTCCCCTAACATTATTAGACACGTGGTTTAAGTCAACCAATGACCTGCCATTTAAATTTGTGAACTTCTGGTGAACTTATCGAATGAAAGAATGGACATAACAACCATATGTGGTGGAAACACGACAAAAAATATTGAGTGAACGATGAATCTCTGTGCATAGCATTTGACAGCCATAAAAATCAGTTGTTTGTTTTTTTTTATTGAATATGCAAATTAATATTTTTACGGTTTCCTCTCTTTCAAAAGTCAGTTTAAACTTTGAATTGTCTTTCTTAATATAATTGAATTTTTAAAATAAATTTTGGGTTTTTAGCTAAAAGGTATAAAATTTGGAATATATTTTTGTTATTTCTTTAAGATGTCTAACCATAGTAATGTGGTATCTATTAACAATTTACAAAAACAAAAAAAGTCTAAAGCAAATATTTATAAGAAACAAATGTGAGTACAAACAAAAGACTTACTTTGTTTTATTTTCGAGTAGGCAACAGATAATCTAACACGTGTTTTACTTAAAGGTGTATCATTTGGAGTGTCTGTTTTTTTTAATTTCTTTATAAAGCCTACAATAGCAATCTAAAAAAAATTAGTCAAACTCCAAAGGTTCTGATAAACAAAGTTGAGCAAAAAAAGAAAATGAGACCTACGTTCTTTTATGTTCGATTAGGTAAGAGTTAATCCACAACTTGAGAATTTCTTAGACTTGAGAAACACGACATAAAATGTCCATCTTCAAACAGCAGAGAAATCGCCAGTGAGAAAAAAAAAACCGGTTATTTTCTCCTGTAATCTGTGCGCATTCGCTCCGAAGTCTGGAATGCTTAAAAGCGAGAGTCCATGAACGCGTTATCAATACAGCCGGCAAGAGGAACCGGCTAAAAAACCGGACGCGTCTCTGTGAAGGAAACACAAAAACGATGGCATGATTGTTCCCGTGTCACGTGGGGGCCGGCAGAAGGTACGCGCATGCGCCGTGAGTCAGTCCCGCCGTGGAATCTATACGTGGAACCAAGGGGAGATAATTTCTGATCCAAGCTTTATAATTTTCGTGTCTGAATGCCGGGGTGGGGGTGGGGGGGGGGAGGGGTTTTGGCTTGACGGAAGTGACGTGTGAATTGGTATTTATCAAATATTTTATCCGGCGTTGGTTATTTGTCTTGTCCGGTTGGCGCCTATGCCGACTAAGAAATATTGGAAATATTTTAAGGGAAATCAAAAACAACATTTTTGTGTTTTTATAAGAGAGATAGAGATAGATAAATAAATAGAAATGGAGATGGGAGAAAATGAGATATAAAGAGCGTGAGACAGAGATGTATGGAGAGAAATAGATAAATAAACACGATATTATAAAAGAGGGAGAAAGGGAAAGATAGAGAAGAGAGAGACTGACGGAAGAGAGAGAGAGAGAGAGAGAGAGAGAGAGAGAGAGAATGACGGAACAGAGGGAAAGAAAAAGAGTAGCTAACCATGAGATAACATATTATTAAAAAAAAGAGATTGTTAACTTTTAAAGTTATTATATAGGCTACTTGAAAAATTGGGTTGAAGCTTTATTGAATCATGTATATTGATATTTTTTTAATTTAACTAAACGAGCAACTTATAGTGGTTCATGTAGTCATGCTTAAGAAAACAAAATATTTAAATGTACTCACAGAGTCTCTTCAAGGCATCTCTTTGGGGGCGCGGAGTCACCCACCCCCCTCCCCGAAGATAGTCTAAACCCCCTCTCCCGAACGAAATGGAATTTATATAGATAATTGTACATTTAACAGTGTCCGCCCCCCACCCTCCGGAGATTTTAGCCCCCCCGCCCCCAAAGAAAAAAGTCTGGAAGAAACACTGCTCACTAATCTGGATTTCAATAGATTTAGTTCATGTTTTAAAATGTTCTTTCAATGAAAACTTAACGTTAAAGTTTTTTAAATTTTTATTTCTTCACTAAAACTGTATTGCTAATGTACTCACATTGCTAATACCACTCTTATAAATTAGTCGCTTCTACCACAGCCATCAAGTATTCCTTGAAGATGGTCTATAACTGTTGTGTTACAAAGTTTACGAATGGTATGTTTCAACCATCCTTAATGTAGTTGTCCTTTAGGATGGTCTATAACTGTTGCGTTACAAAGTTTACGAATGGTATGTTTCAACCATCCTTAATGTAGTTGTCCTTTAGGATGGTCTATAACTGTTGCGTTACAAAGTTTACGAATGGTATGTTTCAACCACCCTTAATGTAGTTGTCCTTTAGGATGGTCTATAACTGTTGCGTTACAAAGTTTACGAATGGTATGTTTCAACCATCCTTAATGTAGTTGTCCTTTAGGATGGTCTATAACTGTTGCGTTACAAAGTTTACGAATGGTATGTTTCAACCACCCTTAATGTAGTTGTCCTTTAGGATGGTCTATAACTGTTGCGTTACAAAGTTTACGAATGGTATGTTTCAACCACCCTTAATGTAGTTGTCCTTTAGGATGGTCTATAACTGTTGCGTTACAAAGTTTACGAATGGTATGTTTCAACCACCCTTAATGTAGCCAAAAATACGGACTATTCAGGTACCCTTCCATATTCCTCGTAAATAACGTAATTATTTTTAATTTTACTCTGAATAAAGTTCAACTGTTTCTGTGACCTCTGCATTTGAAGATATAATTTAATATAATGTTCTCAGCACTATACCCAGCCGCCTTTACTTTCACTAACTTGAGTTAGGTAACCATCAGAGCTGGGTGGACTCAGGGACGATATACGGACTTAAACCCGGATTCGAACTCAAAACTTTTACTGTAATATATTAAAAAAAGTAAAATATTTTTCCTTCTGAAAAGTACATAGCAAAATGCATGTTCCCTAACACCAACCCGACAAACTTTTTTTGTTATAGTCACTAAAAATAACACAATTTTATATTTGGAAACCTTTATAACTGTTAACTCAAGGTCTCGTCCAAAAGTGCAATCATTAAAGACTCCATTTGTTTCATTCACACGTGTGTTATTTAAAATAGTGACCGAAATAATGATATTTCATAACGAGGTTATTATTCATATCGTTAGACAAATAGATAATTAACTAATGATCCGTTTTGTATTTAATGAGTTTTAATTGAAGAATAGATTTCAAAATCTGTTATGAGACACACTATAAAAATAAATTAACCCAACCGTCAGTGAAAGCACGCTGAAATCGAATAAGATCTAATTATGTATTGTTTAAACCAAAAATAATGGTCAATTAAACCATAACCAATTAATACAACCAAATTTTTAAAAATAACTATTTATTATATCCAAAGTAATAAGAAAAACTAATTTTAAGGCTCATACTCAAAGTAAATGGCAACTGTAAATGGGCATACGTAATATGCAAGAACTCCGGATAGCTGTAGTTGGTGGCCCATACTCCAGCAGGACAGTGGGCTATGAATAGCTTTAGTTGGTGGCCCATACTCCAGCAGGACAGTGGGCTATGAATAGCTTTAGTTGGTGGCCCATACTCCAGCAGGACAGTGGGCTATGAATAGCTTTAGTTGGTGGCCCATACTCCAGCAGGACAGTGGGCTATGAATAGCTTTAGTTGGTGGCCCATACTCCAGCAGGACAGTGGACTATGAATAGCTTTAGTTGGTGGCCCATACTCCAGCAGGACAGTGGGCTATGAATAGCTTTAGTTGGTGGCCCATACTCCAGCAGGACAGTGGGCTATGAATAGCTTTAGTTGGTGGCCCATACTCCAGCAGGATAGTGTGCTATGAATAGCTTTAGTTGGTGGCCCATACTCCAGCAGGACAGTGGGCTATGAATAGCTTTAGTTGGTGGCCCATACCCCAGCAGGACAGTGGGCTATGAATAGCTTTAGTTGGTGGCCCATACTCCAGCAGGACACAGAACTCCGAAGAGGTGTAGTTGGTCGCCCATAGCTTGATCAAAGTGACATATATCGTATTCTATTAAAGATTTACCTTGTCGTTTTGATCTTATAAAAAATAAGATATTGTGTGTAAGATAAGAAAAAAGAAGATGGCGGTTAACCCATACCCTGAGAATGTCAAACAAAAGACTTCCAAATATGTCACTGAGATAGAATCAACCTGGAGAATGAAAGAGATGAAGACCGATGGGAAAAAAGAGGAGAGAGATGGAAGAAGAGGTGCTGGCCACATGCAAGACCTGGCATGAACTGAGATGACTGGCCCCTCGGGGTACGACGGAGTTTTGTTACTATCGTATGCTTCTCATATAGGCAAAACGATTACGTGAGTTTAATGTATTGGTGATATAAAAAACGTCTATTTCCGGTTTCTAAGAATACCATCATTACATTTTTAAACCGTGCTCTTAATTTGTTCATTTGGAATTAAAATGTGTTGTGTTAGTAATTTGAGGTGGGGGGGGGGGGGGGTGATAGGTTGGTGAAAGCTATTAATTGAAATATGTCCTCAGTGTTTTTGTTTTATATTCGTCTCGTGTGAAATAATGACACGCGGTTTGGCAGTTATGAGTAATCAAGCTAATTAGTTCAAACTAATGAGATGCGGGTGCTATCTTAAGTCAACAAACACGAGATATGTTTGTCGGTGTGGAGGGTCAGCGCAAAGGTCAGAGGTTAATTAAAAGATCAGATGTTTGGATATCTGTTGTTGTGTGTATTGGCACGCATGACTGCTCATGCGTGTCGCTGTTGTGTATGTCGTTAGCTGTGTAGGGCTGTGTGTACTGAATACACGGATGAAACGTTATCGTGTTTGGGTATAGGTTAGACTAATTCGCCATTACTGTTCACAGAGTCACTATAGTTTATATTCTGAGCATTTTTTTGCTAATCCTGTATACAATCACACAAGCTGATCTGGTATCTAGCTTACTAGACTTAGTGTAGTTCTATCTCATAAGTTAATCACACATTGAGTCAATGGACTCGTACCGTTTTCTCTCACACATATCGATCATATCTTTAGCTCACTAGAGTAGTCCTGTGTTATATCACACAAGCCAATCACACATTGAACTTACTTGACTAGTCCTATGTTAAATCACACAAATCAATCACACATTGAACTTATTTGACTAGTTTTATGTTATATCACACACATCAAGCACACATTGAACTTTCTTGACTAGTCCTATGTTATATCACACAAATCAATCACACATTGAACTTATTTGACTAGTCCTATGTTATATCACAGTGTTATATCACACAAATCAATCACACAGCAAGACAAATTGAAAAAAAATAAGTCGTTAATAAGTTAAAATGTATACCTACAGTCTATACCAGCGTACGAGTTGTCTAGCTATGTGGGTATTGAAGACAATGTTAAGCTACTTATGGTACAAATGAAGAGATCTAACTCTGGTTATTGTACCAGGTAAGCTATCAACTATCAATTGGTTAGAATCGGGATTGTTAAAGCTTTCAAAACAGTTTTCCAGTTTTCACAAACATGGAATTGTTGTCTGGTTTATCGATGTTTTCATTCAATACCATACATTATTTAATAATTTTATACGGTTGTAAAATTAGGCAGGGGGGGGGGGGCAATGTAAGATAGCGGGCGTGTTTTCTTTTGAAAAAATTCGTTGTGTTTAGGTAAATAACGAAAAGAATCAGTGGTTTTTTTGTCTTCTTCTTCGTTCTAAATTCTTTTTATGATTGAGGATTTAAACAACAAGCCGAACGTCGTGATGAGCTAGACTCTGGTCTCCAGATCCGCTGTGCCCCTTATAGTTTTTCTTTGAGTGGGGTGTATAGGGGCCAGTGTTTGGATCGCGCCTGGCTATATAAGGAACAGTCCTGAAGGACGTGCTCTGTATTCTCTG